CATCCTTCTTTAAGTGTAGTGTCCAGAACTGGACACAATACACAAGGTGAGGCCTAACCAGTGCTGAATAAAGAGGAACTAGTACAGGATTTTGAAACGGTACTTATGTTAAGGCAGCCTAAAATAGCATTAGTCTTTTTTGTAGCCACATCACACTGTTGGCTCAAATTTACGTAACTTGTAAAAGAGAAACCACTTTGGTTTAAGGGAAGAAGTTACGGTGAAAGCTGTGCTGCAAAAAAAGGAGGAGGAAATTCAGAGTACTGAACATTCCCCCCTCCTTGCTCAAAATACTTGGATGCTAATGCTTCTTTCTTGTATCTTCCACCCCAACTAAACCCTGCAGGCTAATCCTACTGACCATCTCACTCACTTTATAGCGCTTCATCATTACGGGTGTGGATGAACTGAGGTGAAACCTTGGCTTTAATAGTGTCGGCCATTACCGACAGCCGATTTGCAGGGCTATCTGTCGTTACATAAGCACAATTTGTCCGTAGAGTTGATCTATATTTGGTGGGGTGGGGGAAGTCTTAGATTTAATGGGCTTAAGTCAAAGGTGACCAGAGGCGTTGTCTCTTTAGATGATCACCTCTTGTATTTACTTGAACGGGAGGTTAAGACAGTCTCCTAAGATTGGAACTCTTGACAGTCTTTTTGAGTGGAGAAAATAAAATAGTGTTCTATCAAATGGTGGAAGTGGAGTAAAACGGGTTAAGGTGTTTTTATAGCAAATACTAGGCTGTCAACTGTCAGCAGTGTCAGGCACTTTATTTAAAAAAAACGGCTGTAAATCAGATTATAATCTTATAGAAGATTAGGCAAAGCAATGAGGGCATAGTGACACAGGTGGGGCAGAGAGAGCTAAATGCAGTGAGTGACATTGTCTCTGAAGATCACCAGCTCCCATTTGACCGCTGGTGGGCAAGTTCTGGGTGCTTTATACTGCACTTAGAAAACCCGGGATAGGACCACCATAAACTGGAATTGACTTGATGGCACGCCATAGTCCCTAATCCAAGAGGATGCTCTGTGTGCGCACCTGGGTTTTGTGTTCAAATTCAAAGAATGACTTGTTGTCCCCCTAAATCAATTCTGTTGTTGCCCTAAATCAAAGGGTCAGGAACCCACACTCCAGTCCTGCATAGGGCAGGCCCTAAAGGACAGCATATGTCTATTAAATTTGTGGCTGCCAATAACTAAACCTCTACAGGCGGCCTTTGAGAATGGGGAGAACAGAGGCAGAGAAGCTGAGGAGATACCAAATAATGGTATTTTGAGGGGAGAGGGTGCAGTTTTCATGGGATAACCCGGAGGGCCAGACGGGAAATTTTGGAGTGCCAGATTCAGCCGTACCGCTCAAGATTCCTCACCCTGTACCTAAAAAGAAGTGTGTTGTATGGGTTTCCGTGATGCTTTGTCTTCCTGGGCTGTGTAGTGTTCCCTCTTTTCAGCTCCCCATTTCATTGGCACAGTGCGAAAGGAATAAGAAGTGAGAACCAAAGAAACCTCTCCCCAGGTAAACATGGTCGGAATACAGCATAGACAGCCAGGCCAGGTTTTCGGTTGTCTGGTGCTACCAGAAAAAAAAATCAAGGAACCTAGGCTGTGTCTTCAAGAAGGGACCTTTTCTGTCTTACCTCCCCACCGCCATCAAAAGACGTGCAGGTTTTGCAGTTGGTGACCAGTGGTTTTTCTTGTAGGTTTTGTCTGCTTTAACACGCCTTTCAGTGAGTTGCTTCAGAGCCTCCCCCCAGAAAGTCTTAACAACCCCCAAAATCTCGACTCCACACAATGTTCTTTCTGCAGATCGTCAGATCGGGTGGAGGTGAAGAAAGAAGGTTTTAAACAGGCAAAAAACAGGAGGAAGAAAGAAAGGAGCTTGCTTGTCTCTCCCCTGCGCTGAAGCACCTGCTTGTGTGCCTCATTTTGGGTCTCCTCCCTGCCTAACTTGGCATCTCCTTCAGCGTGCAGGGCTGGGATCTGTTCACACTTGCCAAATATCATTCAGATGCTATCACTGTTGTGGGTTGTTTTTTTTAAATTCTGTGTTGGCATTAACTTCCACAGCCAAAGGAACCTTTCCTTTGCTCTCCCCTTAACCATAATAATAATGACCTCTTCCTTCCCCCCCCCCCGGCTTTTTTTAAGGCCACCCTCATTATGCTGAGATGATTCCAAGCACAGATCAGAAGTTGTGGCTGTTGTTCCTTTTGGCTTGAAAGCGGTTCTTTCCCCCTCCAGTCCTACCCTGCGTTTGTGGAGGGAAGGGGATATTTTTTTTACCCTCTCATTGGGCTTCTCCTGCTTTGTACAAAAAGATTCGGAGTGGACCCAAAGGAGAGTTGGTGTACCCTTGATAATCTTCGTTTCCCAACCTGGCGTCCCCAGTTGTTCTTGGACTACGATTCCCAAAACTCCTGGCCAGCACAGCTACTGGTGAAGACTTCTGGGAGTTGGAGTCCAAGAACATCTGGGGACTTAACCGGGGGGGGGGAGCCATTGGTTGAGAGAGCTGCCTCTGGGGCTTTGTGTGGCAAGCCGAGACCTCTGCCTCGCTGTTTCTGGATCTCTTTCGTCTCCATGTTGATGAGCCTGGAAACGTTAGGGTTTTGAGCTCCCAAAGGCAGGCCCAGCTTCTATCGCCAGCTGCCATGTTGGCGGAGCGATTTTCCGAGGGTGCGAAAAAAAGTAACTTTTCCAGAGCGTCTGTGGAAAAATCTGGAGAAGCCATCGCCCTGTCTTGCAGTGAACTTGACACTTTGGAGTGGGAGGGAAGGTGAGAAAAGAGAGGGAACTTTTTATGTACTCCAAATTATTACTATGAGGTCATTCAACCCATCTGCCCCCCCCCACACACACACAGTTCTACCCAGTGGTCTTGTTTATCCTGGCTGGCTTTGCCGACCTCGGTTTCTTCAGGGCCCAGTTCGACCAGTTAGGTACCAGTCTCTTTGGCGAGCCACGCCAAGAGGCCTTTGGAATTTTATCTCCTCCAGTCCCTGGAGGGAGGGAAAAGCTTCCAGGCAGCCAAAAGGACTTGCTTATGCTTGCGGGTGATTTATAGGCAGAGCAGAACCAGCTTGTGGAAAAGGCGAAGCAGACTTTGGCAAGCGGCCACCCGAAGCCTCTGCAGCTGCGGCCGTAGTGAAGTCATCATCCTAACGACCGCTGCAAACAGAATAACAAAGTCTGCCCTGTTCTCGTCTAAAATAATCTTTCCAGTTCAGAACCGCAGTCTTAAAAACTTACCTTTCTGCACACAATTAGGGAAGGCAGCAGCTGATCACTTTGACAGGGGGCTGTGTGAATGGCTTGATTATAGAGGGATTTGNCCCCCCCCCCCCCCCGAAGGAGCATTTTTTAAAATGCTTTGTATTCTAACAGGCCTATTCTAAAACTCTGTGGGTTTATTATTGGTTTTTTTTTCACCTTTGTAAAGGGGCTTCTTAGATGATTCTTTGGAGGGATGCATTGCTGGAATACTCCTTTTTTGGGGGGGGGAAATATTACACATCTCTGTTTATTAGGATCGAAGCCCCACATTCCTGGGGTGGGTGAAAGTGATTTTGAATGGGTTCCTTGAAATGTGGGCGGATGTCAACATCTATCTCCTGGAGTGAAAACATGCAGGCTAGCCCAAATATCTAGAAAGTTTTAAAAATGGTGGATATCAGTTTCTTTCTTAGGATTAATGAACATTACGGAGTTTAGGATTCCCTCCCCCACCCCAATCGCTTAATTACAAAATGGTCTGCCGAGGTTGTTGTTTTAAAGGCACCGGTTCCTACACAGGATGCAGTAGAGCTGACATAACAGGATTCTTTGTAGCTCTTCCCAGTGTTTATTGTGGCAAGAAGCAGTAGTATAGGTTGAGTGTTTAAGGAAAGGGACCAAACAAGATCTTACTGTGTAAGGCGCTTGTCTCTTTTTGACAAAAGATCTTAAAAGAAAGTTAGGGTTTCCTGTGTTTTCGTTCTTCTGCTGTTCGCTGTTCAGTGCCACTAAGCTGCTTCCGACTCGCCCTGTCCTCGCGTGGGGGCTTTGAAGCATGGGGCTTACTTACTGGGACTTGATTTCTGGTTTCCTAAGTCCTGATCTGACTCCTGTCTACTGCACCACGTTAGCCGCCCTCCCCCTTTGCAACACACTGAACCAAATCCAGTTTTAGTCCCAGCTGGGATAAACCCGTTGACATGAATGGGTATGTGTGTGTGTTAGGGGCAACAAAAAATGTAAGTCCCATTGATTTCAGTGGGACTCATTGGGCGAGGACTAAAATTGGATTTTGCCACTGCTGATGGCAACTGATGGCATTTCTGGCGACTCCAGAGCGAGAGAGAGCCTTCCTTTCTGCCGTTCAGCCACAATAAGCTCTTAAGCATACCTGGTGTTCCAGCCTATCTTAAATATAGCCTTGTGTTGGCAATTTTTGGAAGTGGAAGAACACAAGAGCAATCTGTTGAGTAGATTAGCAGAGGCTAATCTAATTAAATCTGCACAGCTCCCCCTGCGCACGGCTCCAGGTCCGCTCTGTGCCACAGACTTGGGAGACAGTTGCTATCCTGCCCTATTTTTATTTTCCCTGCCCACCCACCCACCACCCCCTGTGATTTATCCTCCTGGAGAAGGGTACTCGTGGTCTCTCAACGGTTTGTTGACACTACGGTTGATCTTAATTATTATACCTCTGCACTGCAGGCAGTATTAAATCTGCAGTGTAAAAAAGACGATGTAATGCACCTTTTGGGTGGTTCTCCCCCCTCCCCAACAGACTCACATGACTATCTGCTATTTTTGTGCCCTGCCTTCAGAAGAAAGAGAACACAAGGAGAGGCCACCTTTCATTGAGTTGCTCAGATCATAGATCCGGGGTCCATGTACTGTATTATTGTAACAAAGAGTGGTCGGTTTTGGCTTACATTTGACATTTCGACCTGCAATGGAAATCACGTAAAAGAAAGCACACAACCAATACGTGCTCTTTTCTCTATTTTTAGGTCCCATCTGATCCACCTGTCCCTAAGAAACCCAAAACAGATGACTCCTTGCAGTCTCCTCTACTTGGCGACAAAGAGAAGCAGTCTAATTGGTTACGGTCTTTGTCCAATTCATCCGGCAAGGTGAGTTTCAGGGGACAGGCAGGAGCTCCGTGTTTCCTGCTCTTGCTTTGCAGGACGAAGCTCCAACCAAGTTCAGTCCCTGGTATGACCAACGAAAGGATCAGGTGATGACGACCTCTCTGTGGGTGAAATCTCAGGAGGCTGAGAGATATACTACTGGGCTGGACAAACAGTCTGACAGAGAGACAGCTTCTTAAAGTCTCTTATGTCAACAGAGCAGGAAATAGAGTTTAAAAGCTTTCACAAGTCTGGGGTGTTGTCGACACCAAATGAAGGGAAGAAACCTCCTTCCTTCCTTCCTTCCTTCCTTCCTTCCTTCCTTCCTTCCTTCCAGAAATCGACAAACGTAAGCAAAATGATTCCAAAACAAAAATGTGAGTAAAGTGTATCAGGCCAAAACAAACAAACAAACAAAAGAAAGAAAGAAGACAGAAACATTGTGGCCCCATAAAGACTCACTGTTATATTTTAATGTGAGCTTTCATGGAATAGGTCCACTTCCTCAGACCACTTCACTGTTATATTTTAATGTGAGCTTTCATGGAACAGGTCCACTTCCTCAGACCACTTGTCCGCAAAAACTCACATTAAAATATAGCAGTGAGTCTTTACAAAGGGGTTTGTTCATTCGTTCGTTTGTTTATGTATCTATGTATTTATTTATTTATTTTCCCTTTGTTTTGGCCCCATATGCCTAACACAGACTAACATGGCAACCTCTTCTAAAACTACAACTATGTGAGTGAAATGTTTGCAAGATGATTTTAAGGCAAGGTAACTACAGAAGGTTAAATGGTTGTTAGGTGTTTTGCCTATTTCCAAAAGAAAACTCCAAGATGGCCCCACTAAGCTTGGAGCAAGAGTAGAGAAGTTAAAAAAACAACTCATTCTTTCTCTCTCTCTCCCTTTTCTATCTCTACTTTGTTCTCTCTCTCTCTCTCTCTCTCTCTCTCTCCCTGTTTAACCGGGAATCTTCTGCATCCAAAAGCAGATGATTGACCACTATGATAATTAAATAATTTTAAAATGTGCCAGACGTGGAGCGCCTTCACCATCACTCTCATGGGGATGCTGGGAACAATTTGAAAGAATGAACATACAAACAACTTCGCTGCCTCCACCTGCTCTAGACTCCTCTCTTCTACCCACAAAATGTTCCTGGATCAATGGTCCATGATCAATTCAACCTTGTCATGTTTTTTCCCCAAAAAGTTCATTATTCTTTCATCCTGTTTGCAGAAGGCAACACCTTCTTTCTGTACCCATGTAATATTTCTACCTTACCCGTCACACTATCGTTTGTATTTAATTGATTTCGAAAGTGTTTTTATAAAACACCCAGTGGTGCTCGTGAGCGTTCCTTCTTCCACTAGAGGCCTTGGCATCTTCTCCCTTCCCCAGAGGCAGAGGCCCGGCGGCTCTTGGGAACTCTCAGTCATTTTGACCCCCTTCTCGTTTCTCTCCCACAGAATATTGGCTGCGTTCACCCACGGCAGCGTCTCTCTGCCTTCCGGCCCTGGTCGCCTGCCATCTCGGCCAGCGAGAAGGACCTGTCAAATCACATCCCCGCTTTGATCAGAGACAGGTGAGACAAAGGTGGCACCAAGCTATCCTGAAGCATCGTTAATTTGAGTTTGGGGGGGGGGCAGGGGACATTTTTAATTTTATTTATTCATCCATTACATTCATGTCCTTTCTTTCCTCCAAGGAGGGCATGTTTAGCTTTGAGAAAAGAAGACTGAGGAGAGATAGGATAGTACTTTGGAAATGCCTGAAAGGTAGTCCTTCAGAGGAGGGACAGGATCTGTTCTTCATTACCCCAGAGTCTAGCCCATAGTAATGGGCTCAAGCGACAGGAAGCCAGAGTTTGGCTGAATATCAGAAAGAAAAAAAAAGTCTTAACTGTTAGAGCAGTATGACAAGGGAACCCTGATGAACTATCCTTTACATCAGTGGTTCTTAACCTTGGGTTACTCGGATGTTTTTGGACTGCAACTCCCAGAAGCCTTCACCACCAACTGTGCTGGCTGGGGTTTCTGGGAGTTGCAGTTCAAAAACACCTGAGTAACCCAAGGTTAAGAACCACTGCTTTACATTGTTGAAAATCCATCAGAAGGAAGTCCACTTAGCATCTTGTGGCGGTGATTTTTTTTTTATCACCTTGGAGTACCAGCAGAGAAGTACCGTCAATCATTTTGGCTTTACCTGTTTGCTTGTTTTAATACCCTGCTTAGGTGATGTCTTTTGTTGAACTGCTTTGTTAATATCTGGGCTTGTTTCAGCAATCAGATGTTTTTCCTGTATTCCTCCACAATCTTAAATGCAGTGAATGGAGCACATCTTTACACTTAAAAATGTAGTGTTGAGGTGGGGACTGAGATACATTCCTGATGGATGATTTGAAGCGGCTGGATTCTATCCCTACGGCCATAATACTGCCGCAGAAGAAGACTTCTGGGTGGAAAGGAGTCTGGATTTTTATCCCTGTGGGGGCTGCTTAAATGTTGTCAAGATATAATCTTTTATAGACAGCATGAGGAGTGTGAACTTTGAACTAGCCAGTGTTGTTAAACCATTATCTTATTTTTCATTCTATTTCAACCCGTTTCTATGGTTTTTGTCTGTTATTTATAATGATTGCGATTTTAAAACCAATATACTTTTGTTTGAATAAATCTCTTTTTTGTGTTAACCCAATTTAGTATTGAGTGCATGCTCAATACTAAATTCTCTTTTTTGGGGGTTTTTTTTAGATCTGAGTTTCCTTTTCTGTATATGAGAGGTGCCCAGATTTGTGATTCTGGACAACAGCTCCCAGAATCCCCCAGGATTCATGCCTTCCTGGGGAATTTTGGGAGTTTTAATTTGGAACCACAAATCTGAATACGTCTCTCGTATAGCTATTAGTTACATTCCAGGAATCCACAGGGTGTCCACCACGCCCTGAGATCGTTCATTTTGATGCATGGAAATCATCCTCCTCCTCTTAGAATGGCAGACGATCCCTCTGGATCATCAGGTCCAGGCCCAGTCAAGGAGGCATTGCAGGATGGGAGCCAACAACGACCCCCTGAAAAACAGCCATGGGGTTCCACCAATGTTGCTTCAATGTGTTCCTTTCCTTTCCTCTCTTCCAACTCTACAGTTTCTATTCCTATAAAAGTTTTGAGAACGCCATCGCTCCCAATGTCGCCCTCGCTCCCCCGCCTCAGCCAAAGATTGTAAGCAACCCCCCTTGTGCCACGGCAGCATCACGGAGCAGCGAGGTGCTGAACAGCCCTCCCCAGCCCAGAAAAAGAAAACAGGTCTCTGAGACACCAGCCATTCCCGAACCCGCGCCCACCATCGCCCCCGCCGTTCCCGTTCCCGAAGAAGACAAAGAGTCCGAAGCAGAAATTGAAGTCGAAACCAGAGAAGAATGTAAGTGTGAGTTACCTCGTCTTATTTTGTCTCCTGTCGTTTGAAGTTCCTGGGGGAACATGTGTTCTGCTTTGGGAACATTGTTTAGTCTAATTTTATTACCTTCCTAAATTTATCTCCATGTTTATAGTTTTGAGTTACCTGTGTGGCCACTAAGTAGTTCTCAAGGGGCAGAAAAATGGGCACACACAAGTTTTGCAACCTGAGTGAAACCTACTAGCTTCAAAGCCAAAAACCTGTCTGGGTTTTTTAATATAAATCTTCACCTATAACTGGACCCACAATAAAGCCCTGAGCAGACAGGGCACCCCCAAAAGAGTGGGGCTGCCATCGAAAAGCCCCTGTCTTGTTCTGCTACCAAGTTTGATTCTGAAGGTGGCAGAACAGAGATTTTTCCCATCCTGAAGTTCTTAAAAATTTCATCTTGTGGTGACCCATGCTGTCTCCTTGCTGTGGACCGAGTCGTCAATTTCTTGACCCTTTCTTGTCCCAGTTGTTAAAAGATCTGTAAAGCCAAATGTGGGAGAATCTTAAAATCAGCTGGCCCAAAAGTTTCTTCCCGGCTGGCATTCCAGAAGTTAAGAATTTCCCATTCCCAGTTACAAAGTATGCATCCAGTATAGAAGATGGTGGAGGGATAATCTGAGCCTAGGGCTTATCACTGGAGTTTTTATACCAGTTCGCAGGAGTCTTGCCCGATGCTATTGTAACAAAGAAACGGACACCAGGGTGAGCTGGCCAGACTCTTAATAACTTCAGAACTCATTCTCTGTGCTTGTCCAAATGCCTTCTCTGCCCCATTCAAGCTGTTGGGCCACTCCCCTTCCAAATAACGAGAACATTTTTGGTTTTAATCGTGCGTGAGCTACCTTGAGTCCCTTCACTGTGAGGGTGTCAGCATAAAAACGTAATCAATCCACCCACCCACCAACTAATCAACAAAGACCACATCTTGAACCAACCAACCACACGTGGAGAGTTGGAGGGGTCCAAAACTTTAGCACCTTTGGCTCAGAACTTGAAATTAATTATTTCCAGACTCTTAATCTGCTCACCCAGGGGCTTTCAACCTTGGGTCACCCACATGTTCTTGGACTGCGACTCCCAGAAGCCTTCACCACCCACTCTGCTGCCCAGGGTTTCTGGGAGTTGCAGTCCAAGAACACCTAAGCAACCCAAGTTTGGGAACCCCTGCGCTAACCCAAATCGCCAGTGGCTACTCTTGCCAGAGAATTCTGGATATCGGAATTCCAAAAAGTCACTTCACGAGGGTGTGCTTGTGTGTGTTTGTGTTTTTTTTTAAAAGTTAAACCTTCTAATATGATTTATGGTGGCCTCCCCGTGGGGGGAATGGCCGCCTTTTCTCCTCCTCTCTGCTTGCAGTCACCTCCTCTCTGTCCTCGCTCTCCTCTCCGTCCTTCACCTCCTCGAGCTCAGCCAAGGACATGAGCTCCCCCAGCATGCCGGCCCCGCCCCCGGTCAGCACTGTGTTCGAAGTCGCCGGCCACGCCGAGCCCCAGAGCAGCGCCAGCGGGTTGGAGGCCGAACTGGAGCACCTCCGGCAGGCCTTAGACGGCGGCCTGGACACGAAAGAGGCCAAAGAGAAGTTCCTTCACGAAGTTGTAAAGATGAGAGTCAAGCAGGAAGAGAAACTCAACGCTGCCTTGCAGGCAAAACGCAGCTTGCACCAGGTAAGGATGCGGCTGCCCTTAGGCCACCCCCCACCCCCCCGGCACCTCCTTTTCTCAACTGGTGAAAAACCTTGCAGCCAAACAGTGCCCTGATCTGAGAAATAAATCTTCTTACGAGGGCTGCAATCTGATCGAAGATGTCTTAATGGATTAATTACAGAAGTCGTCATCCCTTAATTTCCATCTGGATCAAAAGTATATCTTGAAAGCAAAAGAAATGTATTACAGTGGTGCCTCGCTTAGCGATCACTCCGTTGAGTGATGAAATCGCTTTGTGATGGACTTTTGGCCATCCCTGGAGCGATCGCTTAGCGATGGCCCCTATGGCTAAAATTCGCTTTGCGATGATTGCGGGGAAGCGATCATGGCAAAGCGAACTTTTTTAAACAGCTGATCGGTGGTTCCAAAATGGCCGCCGCAAAAACAAAATGGCCGCTGCTGTTTTGCCTCACTTTAGAGGCACCCAAAATGGCTGCCGCTATGGAGGAATTGCGCTTTAATGCGTTTAATGCATTTTAATACGTTCCTATGGGCTTTTTAATAGCGCTTAGCGATTAAATCACTTAGCGATGTTTTTTCCGGAACGGATTAACATCGCTAAGTGAGGCACCACTGTATTTCCTTTGAAATGAAACCTGTAGCTCAGAACAGGCAAGGTCTTACGGGAGGAACAATAAAACTTTGCCTTCTCTTTACGTGCCAGCAATCAGGGAGAGGGGTTTAAAGTAAACAGTCAATTGTTGAACAAGGTGACTATAAACCCAGGATTGTTTTGGTCTCTTGTTTAGCAAACATGAGTTTATTTTTTCAATCACAGTTTCTAGTTCACGCACATCAGAGCCAATGATGAATTAGTTCAAGTGAAAACTGAATTCTTCCTGTTCATGTGTTGGGGACTCTTTTTCTTCCTTCCTTCCTTACGCACTAATAGTCCAGAGCAATGGTTCCACACCTTAGGTCCCCAAATGTTCTTGGACTCAAACTCCCAGAAGCCTTCACCACCAGCTGTGCTGGCCAGGATTTCTGGGAGTTGCAGTCCAGGGACCCCAGGTTTGGAACCACTGGTCTAGACTAAGACTGTTTCTGCCCTGAGCTCTTACAGCAGTTTGGCATCACTCCAGCTGTTATGGCTCCATCCCATATAAAACTGGGATTTGTGGTTTGGTGGAGCGCTTCGGCTCCTCTTCTAGAGAGCTCGTGTGTCTTCCTGGAATGACAGCAGAGAATCGTACTAGCCTCATCCCATTGCTCTGACCGTTAAAGTGGCTTTGAGTGGCTACCATGGTGTGAGGTAAAATAGACTCTCCTTTGTGAGTTACCCCTGAGTGCAAAGAGCTGCTGAGGGTGTGAAGATGAGTTACCAGGTTCTGTTGCTGTGGAAAGAGGATGAGACCTTTTCCATAAAGATGATGAATGGCTGCTGCTTGAGGCCACAGTTTTTAAGAGACAATACATCCCAACAAGGGTGGCCTGCTCAGGAGTAGCCCAAAGGGAGAAGGGTCCTCTGGCTCCAATCCTTAGTGATGTTCTGGCTGTGGTCTCTGAGGTGCAAAACTGCGACAGCACTCAGGACCGTTTGAGGTGAGCTGAGCGGTCAGGGCGCCCCATTGATAAGAGCCTCTTTGGTACGAATAAATTGGAAGGACGAGAGTGACATCATCAAAGAATGTAGCTCTCCCACTGTCCCTTAGGACTTGGACTAAATGCTTCCTCCCCCGCCCCAAAACCCATGTCTGTTGTGGGCGTTTATTAATTTATTTTCGATCTTTGCTTAAAAGGGCAGCTGGACCTGCGGAAACATGAAGTCCGTGGTTGTCTCTTAGCCTCACTAAACCTCCTTCATGGGGTTGTCGTGAAGATAAAAAATTCAGGAGAGAGGAAGCTCCTTGGAGGGGACGATAGACGGAGAAGAAAGGGGAGTGGCAACCTGGGAGCAATTAAACCAGCCTGGGTGGCTGCATTCATCTGAACACTCGGGCTGTAATGTAGTGTGAAATTGCAGGGTTTACATGACACAAGACTGTGTCCCTTGAGTGGGGGGGGGTCCCAGTTACCAAACAGAAGGGGGGGTCAGTAAACTCTTCGCGAGCTTACCGGTTCTCTCTGTGCAGCCTCAAGTCTGTTCCTGGACTTGGTCAAAGCAGAAAGCGACTGGAAAATAGCCAAACTGGTGGTGGCTGGTCAGCTGAACCGGAGCCTACACGACACTAACGGATATGATCGACTCGGATGCCTATCTGGCTCCCACAAATGTTATTTGGAAGGGAAGGGGAAGAGAGGGAGAGTGCGTGTAATGGCCGGGAGACAAAACACAAGCAGAAATAACATGTCTTGGCTAGGAAACAAGATTGCCAAAGCAGAGAGAAAAGAGAAAGAGCATTTCCCATGACCCCTGGTGCAGCGTGCTGACTTAACAAAGACGGGACTGCGCCCGGAAATGGGAAGGGGTGGAGGGGAAATAATACCGTCTTGGTCTCACTTTTTAACACTTTCGAATCCACCCAGTCTGTGTGGGTGGTGGAAGTATTTCCCTCAAGTGAGGTTCATTTCTTTGAACACTTTTACTCCAGAAGGCAGGGAGAAAGCCGAGGCTCTCGCGATCGGGTCTGTCCAGCTCTTTGGAGATCTGATGCGGAGCCGTGCAAACACATGATCCGTCCTGGGAAAGTCAGTCCATCTCTCCACTAGCGACGGAGGCCCGTCCATTTTTGTAAGAGTCGACTTGTTCAAGGAAGCCTTCCGCCATTTTGTTTTCAGGAGCTGGAGTTCCTCCGCGTGGCCAAGAAAGAGAAGCTGAGAGAGGCCACGGAGGCCAAGCGCAACTTGAGGAAGGAGATTGAGCGTCTCCGAGCGGAGAATGAGAAGAAGATGAAAGAGGCCAATGAGTCACGGATAAGACTCAAGCGGGAACTTGAGCAAGCCCGACAGGTCCGGGTGTGCGACAAGGGCTGTGAGGCCGGCCGGCTGCGCGCCAAGTACTCCGCCCAGGTAAGGGGCACAGCTCACAAGGGTCTCTTGCACAAGCGGTGTGTGCCTTCCAGTTGAGTTTCACAAAACATCTCCTTCAAGGAAGGTGTGTTGGAAAATGCTTCATATCTGAGTCGCTCTTGCTTTCGCTTCTGCTTCCCCATTTTATTTTATTTTTGCCTCTCTCACTGGCAGAGGAGGTGGGAATTGCAAAAGGGCAGGGCAATCATTTCCATGGTCACCTCTGCCAGTAAAAGACAGGGAACAAGAAGGCGAGCGATGCTTTGAAGCCAACCTGATGCCCAACTTCTCTTCTAAGATGTCTCTCCTAATAGGGCAGTGGTTTCCAACCTTAGGTCTCCAGGTGTTCTTGGACTGCAACTCCCAGAGGCCTTCACATGTTCTTGGACTGCAACTCCCAGGGGCCTTCACCACGAGTGGTGCTTGCCAGGATTTCTGGTAGCCCAAGAACATCTGGAGACCCAAGGTTGGGAACCACTGTAAGAGGGACTGATTAAGGTGATTCTTGGCTCTCCCTGACCGCCAGTTGAACCCGTGACTTTCTTTGCATGCAAAGCTGGCTGACTGAGCTGTACCCTCGCAGCAGGTACAACCCACCTGTGTGGTTATCCCACACAAGGGGAAACACTTGAGTTCTTCCTTTGACTTTAGCCTCATAGCAATCCCGTGAGGAGAGGCTGGCTGGAGGTGTATGAAAGTGGAATATTATAGGAGTTATTTTACCATTTGCACCCCTTGCAAATGAATCCCCTTTGGTCCAGTGAAGATTTGAACCCAGTCTGACACTATATCTACTTCATTGGGCACTTACCTACTTCCCTGCTTACATGTATGTTCAATAGACTGTCCTAAAGCCAGTGAAACATTTTCCTGAAGGAGTAAAGTCTCTCTAACTCGGTGGTTCCCAACCTTGGGTCACCCAGGTGTTCTTGGACTACAACTCCCAGAAACCCTGGCCAGCACAGCTGGGAGTGAAGACTTCTGGGAATTGCAGTCCAGGAACACTGGGGTGACCCATGGTTGGGAACCACTGCTTTAACTCAGCATCTGCCACGCTCATTAAGGGCAACCATTACGCTAGGGGGATGTTTTCACAAAGCAGCCATTGCCAGCGTACTCGGTGGTGAAAAATTGCTGACCATCCAGGGCCCTTGCCTGCCCCTAATGGACAGTGGTTGGTTTCAGGCCACATCCTGACCCCATAGGCTACAGCTGCTGGTGCTCTACCAGAGACTGGACTCAGAAAACCTGGTGCACTTCCCGGGAGCTGGAACCTTTCCTAGCGAAAGCTGGGGAACTACTGCCATAGACAGTAACAGTGTCTGGGTTGATGTTTTGTACCCTGGAACAAAATAATAATAATAAAAATAAAATAAGAATTGCTGGAAAGCTCCACGGTTTAGGGCTCTGTGGAGCTAGTGGTTGGGAGTTCAAATCCCCCACTGGGCCTCCATGACGGGATGGACTGGATGATCTAGAAAGGTCCTTTCTAGCTCTGCCGTTCTAGAATGATTAATATTAATCTTCCTCTTTTTTCTCTTTTTATTTCACAAATTAAAAACAGAATAAAAGCCTTGTGTAATGTCCTTCTTCCTCATTAGCCTCGTTATTCAGAAGGCGAGGCCTGCCCAATGTAGGAGGGCGGAAGCAGGAAGTGAGGAAAATTTCCTCCTCCACGTATCGCAGGACCTCTCGCTGATAAGAGGCGCCCAGGCTTAATGGAACCCGCTTCCCTTCCCTGGGTGTCCCACTTCCACTTCGGCAGGAGGGCTGCTGGGTGGGAAAGGATGCCACCGGGTTTGCATTCTTGCTGGCTGAGCCACATCTGGCCTCCCTCCCTCCCTCCCTCCCTCCCGGCCTTCTTTTGTCGAAGCTGCAAGGAAATGAGGAAGGGGGCTGGATTAGGCATCTCTTTGCCTCCTGCCAGCTAGCAGACCTCCCGCCCTACTTCCCAGCTGCTGGGTCAGCCCCGGAGGCCTTGTGTTGGGATGGGAGAGAGGATGCACCCATCTCTCCGGTTTCCTAATTTAGCAAAGCCCCACCACTGAGCCCCTGGTGTGAAGAAACCACCTCCGAGGAGTGAGGGGGGGGAGATCCAAGCAGGAAGGGCAGCCACCCACCCGAGGACTGCGCTTCTTAAAAGCAGCCCACGGACTGAGTGCACGAGGGGTGGCTCCAGAGCTGTCCTCCACTGGAGCCTCCTGGAGCTCCGTTTTGGATCCCCTTTGAAGGATCAGAGAAGTTCAAAAGAGATCCCCTCGAAAGTGGCCAGTGGGAGGTTTTTTGGGGGGAGAAAACAAGCGTGTGCTTTGGTGCAATGAACTGGAGATGGGGAGGTTTTTTTTTGGGGGGGGGGGAGAGCAAGCGTATGCTTTGGTGCAATGAACTGGAGACGCAGACCCTGGGGAGGTGGAGAAGGCGGCACGCTGTGACCTCCTTTTTCTCTAAATTATGTAGAATCGGGATTGGTTATGCTCTGGAAATCATCCTTCCTAGCATATGCAAGACGGGAAGAGAGTTCTGTGTGATGTAGCGGATAGAGTGTCAAACTAGGACTTGAGGAGGCCTGGGTTCAAGTCTCCGCTTGGCCACTCCTGGAATCATCCTATGTGGTTTGAACAGCCTGTCGAGTCTGAAATGGTTTGACGGCACACACGAATAGGAGAGGTTTTAGGGGGTTTTTTGTTTTTGTTTTTGACATGCTGTGAACTGTCCCAGAAGAAACCAGCTGGGCCAGGAAGGTGGTAAAGCCTCAATCAGATTTCTCTCCTTGAAAATTCAGAGCCGCTTTACATGTCAACCATTTTTAAAGGTGCAGCCCGTTTGCACAGGGGGAAAAAAGGGAATAAATGCCATCCCAGTAGAGACTGTATGGGGCCAACTCTCATCCATGGTGGACCTTGGCCGGTTCAGTCCTAACACCTTAAGGAAGAGCTCAGAGATTTTGCTGACAGCCGGTGGGAACAGCATTCAGACAGACGATTAAATTCTGACTGGTCAGGGGACAGCTTTTTGAGTTCTCCGTTGAAGGACTCCTTGAGGACTGGAACCTTTTAAGCGCTCTGTGTGTGTGTGTGTGTGTGTGTGAAACGGTGGAGAACCATTTCCAGGAAGCGTTGGGAGGTCTTGGACAGCTTTTTGAGTTCTCCGTTGAAGGAGTCCTTGAGGACTGGAACCTTTTAAGCTCTCTCTCAATCTGTGTGTGTGTCTGAAACGGTGGAGAACCATTGCCGGGAAGCGTTGGGAGGTCTCGGGGAAAGCCCTTGGTTCGAGCTAGGAGGAGGCCCCCCCCATCACCCTTGTGGTTTGTTTCCATCCTAGATCGAAGACCTGCAGGTGAAGCTCCAGCACGCAGAGGCCGACAGGGAGCAGCTGCGGGCCGACCTGCTCCACGAGCGGGAAGCGCGGGAACACCTCGAAAAGGTGGTCAAGGAACTTCAGGAGCAGCTGTGGCCGAAGCAGAGCGACCTGCCCACCAGCGAACACGCGTCAAAAGACATGGGGAATTAAGCCAATGCTGAAGAGCGCCAGGGACGGCGGGTCTCCATCTGTAGGCCAGACTGACGAAATATGCACAGTAAGGGAGAGCGTGGGAGAGAGAGAGAAAGAGAGAGAGAGAGAGAGAGAAGGGGAGTGTGAGAGAGAGACAGAGACACGCTGAGGCCAGCGTGGACATCCCTGTGCATTAAGAAAAAGTTGAACTTTTTAAATTGGAGGACAAATGTTACTCTTTATAACAGAAGCACTGAAGTCGGCCTCTCTCTCCCCCCTGCCCCTCGATTCATATAGCACAACATCTTCCTGTGCCTGTAACAATGAAGAGTGTTTATAAACCCAAACTCCATTTTTTTTTGAGTCTGCAGGAAAACAAGCACCACCACCACAAAACTACACTGTTGTACACACCCTGTCTGGCGGACAACGTCCCAACAAAAATCAAAAGACCAGCAGCCGCGTCTGCTTTCTGAGAACACTTTTTTTTTTGGAGTTAAGATTAAAAAAAAAAACAGGAAAAAAAGAGAAATAAACCCTTTTGTTATAAGCTACTAAAAAAAACGCAACACAGCTGAATCATGAAGATGTGGTGTTATAACCATTGACAAGGTTTTTTTAAAAAAATAAATATATTATATATAAACCTGGTGGGGGGAGGGGGGAATACTTTCAATGCTTAATTTGTACAGACAAATTGTTACAGGTGTTGGGTTCGTACATTGCGAAACGTGTCGGAAAAAGCCATGACCATTTTAAACCAGGCAATTTCTATGAAAATTTCGAATTTTGTGTGTGTGTGTGTGTGTGTGTTTCCCTCCCTCCCTACTTCAAACTCTTTGCATTCCCTATGTTTTGAACCAAGAAAGAGGAGGAAAAGTCAGTGGAGAGAGAGAGAGAAAAAGGGGGGGAGCAGTGAGGTGTAGAGATAAGAAGAAGGTGATCCGAAAGGAACCCAGCCTTACAAAATTCAGTGTTTATACACCATCAGTTTTGACATCGGTCTGTTATTAAATGGATGTGTTTTCAAAGACTCACTTCAACTCCAGGGCACTTCAGTTTGGGGAAACCAATAGAAGAAAATAAAAGGGAGAGATTTAGTGAGGGGGGGAGTAGAGAAAGCAAAAAAAAAAAAGTTGCTGGACTCACACGGCGTTGCTTGTGAAAGATAAGTGAGAAAGACGTGAATGTTTGCAAACTTTTCCTTCCCTTTCCTCAGAGGACTTCCCTCCCTCCCCCCCATTTTTATCATCACCTCAGAAATGTCAGTATTCCCGCGTGAGGATTTCAGTGTCCCACAAAGAATGCTTACCATTGTATTAAAAAACAAACACAAGATTACTTCTTGCTGCTGTGAATAAGCCGACATTTCTTATTGTTTAGGGTTTTTTGTTAGGGGATGTGGGTTTGGGGCTTTTTTTTTTCATCATGGGATTTTTTTTTTTTTACTCAATGTGACAAATACTTTAATATTGGGATTTATGCCACCGTTCCTCCCTATGTTTATCCAGTGATGGACATGCAAATATGCAGTAAGTAACAAAACTCAGGGCAGAATCCTAACCCCAGTGGGAGTCTGTGCTTCTACGTTGTTGGGGCCAACACTTTTTTAAGATGTTGTTTGTACAGAACTACAAAATGTTGTTTGTAAGGGTTGTTACTTCCCCTGTTTTCTTCCTGAGCCCCCGTTAAGAGACATTCAATTGTCAGTTATGATTTAAACGGGGTTTTTAAGTAATCTTGTGCATGAGAGTAGGTTTAAACCAACACCCCTTCTGCAACCTGTTGCTGGCTTTTTAAGAACAAGCTGACGATAGAGAAGGGTCTGTAGAGTGAGTTCCCTATAGCAGTTGGGGGTTGCTGTCACAGCCATTCTAAGCTAAGAATCAGAGTTTAAGGTAAAGGTTCCCCTTGACATTTTGTCCAGTCGTGTCCGACTCTAGGGCGTGGTGCTCATCCCCGTTTCCAAGCCGTAGAGCCAGCGTTTGTCCGAAGACAGTTTCCATGGTCACGTGGCCAGTGCGACTAGACACAGAATGCCGTTACCTTCCCGCCGTGGTGGTCCCTATTTATCGACTCAAATTTTTACATGCTTTCGAACAGCTAGGCCTGGCAGGAACTGGGACAAGTGACGGGAGCTCAGTCCGTCGCGTGGATTCGATCTTATGACTGCTGGTCTTCCGACCTTCCAGCACAGAGGCTTCTGCGGTTTAACCCGCACCGCCACCACGTCCCCAAGAAGAATCAGGGTTTACCGAAGGGCTATCTTGCAGCCACTCCTGGCTAGCACACGCCATGCCATGTCAAATTAATTTCAGTCAAAAACTAGCACAGAAACAACTAAAACAATGCAACAGTATACTGCTCCAAATACAATATCTCACATTATTAATAGTGTGTGTGTGTGTGTGTATGAGTGTGTGGGGGGGAATTAAATTCACTGTTTTGGAAGAGAAACTAATGCACCCAGTCCAAACAGACATACTAATAAGATGAGCTATCTTGATGACAGAATGAGACAGCTCAACAAAGAATGTTCAGTTCCTGTGGGGTTTTGATCCTCCAGCTTGAGAGTGAGACAGTAAGCACCTCCACCACCACCCCCCTTTGAGACATTTGCAATTTGGGCAAAATGTCTCATTGCAAAACTAGTGTCTTTTCCCTGTGTGAAGCAAAGCCCTCACTCACACACAGAACAAGCAGAGAAGGGCTGGTCGATCGAATGAAGCAACTTCTCGTGTTTAAATGTCTGTGCAACAAGGCAGCAGCTATTACTAGTGTTACATCCTTTGTGTTACAGACTCTTCCCTAAATTGTTTTCTACAACCCGTTTGCACCTTAGCCACTTGTTAAGAACCAGAGGTGGGCAGATTTGTGAGCAGAATAAGCTTAAGTTGCTTGTGGAGTTGTCTGGGAGTTGTAGTTCAAAAGCACAAATATTATACACAAGAGCCATTGGAAATTTTTGGACTACAAACTTCGTAACTCTCCATTCTGGGGGTTCCAGCGGAGTGACGGGTGTTTCTGATCAGCTGGCGTGGGCCAAGTGAGGCCTGGCTAGACCGCAGAGCCTTCAGGCCTAGGCCTTTCGCCCAGATGAGCCAAATTTCAGGGTCTGTCACTCATTTGGAATTCCCAAAATGGAGAGGTATGGCATTTTAATAATATTTAAAAAATCTGTATGGCACGTCCCTTCTTCACACTTCTAATAACCATTCTAAATCCTTCTCCTCCTGGCTCCATATCCTCCTCTTGAACATTTCAGGAGAAACTGTTACCTGCAATTGAACTGTTTTTTTCTCTCTCCAGTAAGCAAAATACGGCTGCCTGTTCTAAAATTAAAGTATTCCTTTACACTACACTATAAAGAAAACCATTTGTATTAATGATCTTTTCGCAGTTTTATTATCCATTCTAATAGCCATTGTAAGCGTGATCGTTGAAAAGGAGGAAGGGAAGTTCCATTTGATGGGAGCAGGGCAGGGTCTGGTACGGGGGGGGGGGACTGAATAAAAAGGAAGATATATTAGAAACATCAGGTTACTAGGCAGAGTTGAAATATGGGAAGCAAGAAACTGCTTTTATGAACTAAATCTGCATGCTTGTCTTGAGTCTAGTGTCTCCCTACCTGAAGTGCAATGCAAAAGGAATATTGATTGTGTTTATGCAGTTATTTTTTTAATGTGAGGATTTTTTTTAATTGCTTCTTTGTATGTTTTTTCTGCAGTTATTAAATGAAAACCATATGCATGGAATTAAAATCTTTGCCATACATATATTAATTAACGGGCATTATTACTGTCTTATGTAAAGGTGCATTAAGGTTGTTTTGTTTATTTGTCTGCCTTCCCCCCCCCCCAGCCGTATGAATTTCCAGGATTTGTACTGCCTTTTAAGTTTTCACCATTTTTCCCCAAGAGGCACTAAAATAGTTGTACTGTAGTTTAATCCGGAGTTGTCATCATTGGGTCAAAGCTATTGAAGACAAAATATTCACTTAGGAAGAAACTACTGCTGGTTTTCAAAGTTTGCTTGTTCTCTCTCCTCCAGGTTCACTGGAGATGGAAGAAGGCTAGAAATAATTTTGGGGAAATTAGGTGTCTTTTATTTCATTGATCTGAAATGATACATGGAACGCTTTCAAACTCTCCTTTCAGGGAAATTATAGGCACATCTCATCTTGCGGTTGGCCATTGAAAAATCAGTTTTCTCCGTAATATGAGGGGTTGCACAACTGGTGGCTCTCCAGTTGTAATCAGTTTTTAGCACCCGTCATCTCTTGCCAGCATAACCACCACTGAAGGTTGATTGAGCCCAACAAACATCTGGAAGGTCATCTCATCTCTAGTTTGGTCAAGCTGTTTTGGAGAAGGTGGTCACTAACCTAGCTGAGAAATGTTTGTGGTTCCCTGGAAAAAGAGTTTAAAAACCCTACTGTGTTTCATATATTCTGTGGCCAAGCCAGAGAATATAAAACGCATAAGACGCTCTGCATGCGTCTCAAGTAATCATGAGATCTAGTCCATGTGAAGTTTCTTGACCCACAAGGTCACAAGCCAAAGGTAACCGTTTGAAAAGCCATCGCTGGACCCGTTGGGTTCTCTCTTGACATCAGGGGTTCCCAACCTTGGGTTCAACAGATGTTCTTGGACTGCAACTCCCAGAAATCCTGACCACCACAACTTGTGGTGATGACCTCTGGGAGTTTTAGTCCAAGAACATGTGGAGACCCAAGGTTGGGAACCACTGTCTCATATTGAGGCTCTTGCACCTTTCAAAGACCCCCCCCCAGTTGCTACGGCACAGTCAGGGCACTCCGACCCTGCTAACCCTAGTTCTGATGCCAGCCAAAGTGTATAACAGTGAAGTCTAACTGCCATGCAGAGCACACACCCCTCCAGATGTTGTTCAGCTACAAAACCCACCCACCCCCCAGCATTCTTCTCTACTTTTTGGCTCTCCAGATATTTCAGGCTTTAATTCCCCAGGATTCCAATTGGGTCACAACAGATTTACATGTAGCTTTTTTTAATAAAAGAAAATAACTTAAATATCATCCCCGTGGTACTATGTGCTTGTTTCTTATTCTGTGCCCTCCCGGGCAAGAAAGACGCACAGCAGATCAAACAAGTAGAAATGGTGAATGCCCTAGTTCTCACTCCCAACATCCTCACCCTGGTCTAATTGGCCTCCAGCGCCTTTTAGGAGCATGCTATGGCATACACATCCAGACATGGTAATTTTATATAGATTAGCGGCGCAAGAAAGGTAGTGATGCCATGTGCTACAATTACATCTCATTAGAATCACTAACACTCATGTTTCAGGCATGCATTCGTCTTCATTTTTCATTTAAAAAAAAATTGGCCACCTGGCAAGAATCCTCCTTAAGGGGTTCCTCCACTACCACCACCTCAGTCCAAAAAAATAAAAAAAAAATAAAAATTAAACAGGTACAGGATATGCAAACATTTCACAAATGTTTTCTCCACATAGTCTCTTGCCTTTCAATCGATGGATACAGTCAAGCAAGAATCAAGGTGGGGAGGATACTTAGTCCCTATTGAGAAAGAGCTGTAATGATCACTACAGAATGGTCACATCCTGGGACTTCCGGATTTCTTGGGCTACAAATCACCTAATTCTCCATATGGAGCGTTCTAAGGGACATTCAGATACCTTAAGAACACCTTGATGTGATGCATCTGGGAGAGAAGCAGGTTTGACGGCGTTGAGGTTCAGCTAGGCCTAGCTCCCTGTTCAGAAAGAAAACTCCCAGCTAGCACTGGGGTAGGCACCTTCCTTTTAAGGCCTTTCTCCCAGGTGAGCCACATTTAGGCCTCTTTAAGGTCTCGGGCAGGACACCCTAAATTGGGGGAACTTGTAATGACTTGTAACCCAAGAAATCCAAAACTCTCATTCTTAATCGCAAACATTCTAGAGCAGTGGCCAGGATCCGAGGGAGAGCTGTGGGTCGATTCATGATAGGAAACACTGCACTGTTGTTGTTTTAAAAAACTCGGATCCAAAGCTCCCTGCAGTATCTATGCCAATGGAGGGAAGTCCAGGGCTTTCCTCCGTCAGATCCAATGGACAGAAAAATTAAAACTTTGGGTCCTCAAAGCGGCTAGACAACTACTTGTTCAAACCTATTCGTTTGCAAGAAGTTGGCCGATAAAAGGGAAATCACATGACCGTGTCGATATCACCATGTTTTTGCTCTTCCAACTAGCTAAGATGTTCTGTTTGCTGTTCTGTGTGGTGCAGAAATCACCAGAAAACCAACCTCTCCACACAACATGCTTATAGTTCAATTTTTGTTACCTATTTTTTTTCCAAAGGGGAGAAAATAGGCTTTATTGCATCAATTGTTGACTCTCTTACACATCATATATATATATATTCTAGATAATTGTATATTCAGTTTAATTTTTAAAAACAAAACAAAACCCAACATCTATTCAAATAAGACTTCAGTGAAAGGGGGGGAAAGTACCAACAGCAATAAGACATTCATATGTATGGAGCAGCTAATAATTATACATAACAATAACCTGCTTTTTCAAACTAGCCAATGTAAAAACAAAAGTTAATTTGTAAATACTTTTTTTTTCATTTTACAGTTGTATAATAAGTGTATATGGTGTTTACTTTTTCAAAATCTTTTTCTTACTTAGCCGTCTGTTTTATGAGTTGTGTTTTTAAATTCAGAAAAGTTGCAATTTGTTAGGAAACAAAACACACAAAAAACCAATCACAAAGAAACAGCAACAAAAGTTCCATCAGAATCTGTGTGTCGGTTAAAACGTTCGTCTGATTATTTGCATTTTATTTTTGTCCTTTTATTGTAAAGTATTTTATTATTGAAAAATAAAATAAAATAAAATGGACACTTCCCCTCCCCTTCCCCAAGCCATCTGTACGTTTAAATCAGAGGTCTAGAAAGGAAAACAAAACAAAACACGGTT